ATCCTTTAAATACCAAGAAACACCGATTTCTTCATACCACAAAAAGCAGGCATGGAAAGCAAATTGCCTTCTCTGTTTACGCACAGGAGTTACCAGAGAAAAGATCCGTAACAAAATCATCGTTGGCTTATTTGTTCTTAAACAAATGAAAATCATCAGTATGCACCCTACTAAAGGACTCTGTGGTAATCCATAACATCAATCACATAAAAATGCTGGAGCAAAGGGAAACTCCTTTCGAACTGATCAAGTCCCTCCTTTTGGGCTAGGCTGACACTGAGTTGTAAAGGTTTTTGCAGGGTTCACGTCTACCGACAAATTCCTCTGTGGTACTGGGAAACATTTTGGAACAACTCATGCTGCAGTACCAGAGAGGCAGCATGTATGTAACATGCCCAGTAAAGTCCAAAAGGAAACTGGTTTCTGGGACCAGAAGCCCCAAGGGCTAAATTTAAGGATTCTGTGAAGGCATATCACTAATTAGATCTCAAGAAGAGTAATACAATTTTGAAGTTCTCCAAGTTGAAAGAGGATCACCGTGGGAAATACAGGGCCATTTGCAATTATATTGTTGGTTTATGTTTTGTTAAATCTCTTGCTGATCCCCCTGTCCTGCAGAAACGTGGACAAGCATAATCCAGCTAACTAAGCATGAACATACAGCGTCTTTGTGGATGTTCACAAGGTGTCCTACTTACTCTTCAGCTACTGCCCAAGAAAGTGGATCAACTGTACGTCATGTGTCATGATGCCAGACTCGTACAGATATCCTTGATCCCTTTGGACAGCCCCCTTGAAAGGCACCGCTCACCCACATCCAGGCAACCAGCCCATGCCCAAGTTGTACTGCACAGAGATTTAGCAAGGAATGCTGTAAACAAAAAGATCCAGAGCCAAAATACTTTGCACCAGGCTTCTGCATTTAGTTCCCTGCAGTCAATGAGCAACTATAGAATGATTTGCTTCTCTATCCCAAGAGTTAGCTTGCCAAGAAGTCAGAAAATTCCTGTAGGACACAGCTGTTTTTATCTCTTAGTATTTTTAGTATCAGGAGAACAAAAAAGTTGCTGAGGCTTGGGGGGTTTTTTGAGATAATAAAAACATGCAAAATGTTTAACAAGAAGAAAGAAAAAGATCACAATATCCTAAACTAACCATATCTCTTCTCTGCTTACAAAAGCCAGAAGCTTATGTGTACTACATACCACATACGTGTAAATAAGATCCACGTGATACATTGCAGAGATATGATACACCAAATTTGTCATCCGTCCTATCCTACTCACCTACTCCCAGGAAGCAAGGAACACCTCCCGCAGTCCATACTGCTGAGCAGATGTTCACAACGTTTTTACTTTGGGATTTATTATAGTGTGGGGTTTATTGTGTTGTGCTTTGGTTTGGTTTAAATCAGCGTGCCAGAAAAGCGCTTACTTCCTTCATTGGAGAAATTACAAAATTGTATGCTAAAAGCAGAGAAGGTGGCAGTTGCCTGAAATGAGGGTGATCACGAAAAGTACTAAAATACGACTGCAAGACTGATTCAGACCTTTACAGTCAGAAGGGCCCAACTTCTGTACCAATATTCTTGTCAGCATCTTTCACTCCACGGGATGAGAGGACCAGCAGAAGGGCAGGCGAAAGGGAACACCACGCTGGGGCCAAAGGCAACTGCTGCTCTGCTGCAGGGAGGAGCAGCCCCGAGGGGATGGAAGGAAGCCCCGAGGGGATGGAAGGAAGCCCCGAGGGGATGGAAGGAAGCCCCGAGGGGATGGAAGGAAGCCCCGAGGGGATGGAAGGAAGCCCCGAGGGGACGTGTTCTAAGGATGCTTAACGAGGAACAGGATGCAGGAAGCTTCAAAATGATGACCGCCACAACTTTCTCTGGGTGGGAAAGGCTATTTTGTGAGAGATGCGTGCGCAGCAACAGCGGGAGCTCTGTAAAAAATTTCTGGGAAAAGAGACTTCGCCTTATTATGCTCCGGTGCTCATCTGTTCAGGGCTACTCCCTGACATCAGTGGCATCACCAATCCTGGCGAGATTGTGACAGTTCACCCAGAGAAGCCACATCACAACATGTTTACCAACTCCTGGCTTGATTTAATGCGCCACCTCCCCTTCTGCCTAAGAATTACTCAGTCTGGCCCAACATCCCCAGTGTTTTTTTCGCTCAGTACGCCACTGTGCTGGGGAAGGGGAACGCCAGGACACGGGGAGCCTGCAGCACAGCAAGGCACCGCTCACGTCCGAGCCACACACGGCATCTACGCTGCAAGCATCACGGCACCGTGGGCATGCAGCAAGCGCAGAGGCACGCCAGGGCTGGTGAGAGGCCCTGCCTCCAGAATAGCGGCGCTTCAGGGGTTAACGCGGAGGAGCATAGCCAAAAAAACAACTCCTCAGTGTACTGAAAGATGTAAGGGAGAGGCTTTGGAGAGTCAAGGCAATGTTTACCCAGCTCTGCCTGCAAAGCAGGGAAGGAGGGAAAACCAGAAAACTGGACTTCTGTCAAGATAGGATCCAGGCAGTTTTTCATGAAACACAGCAATGCAGTGCTGTGATGCTACTCCAGCTTTCTACTGGGCTAGCCCTGACTGATTGTACCATAAACATATCTCAAAAGAAGCAAAAAAAAAAAAAAAAAAAAAAAAAAAAAAAAAAAAAGGGGCAAAACCAAACAAACAAAAAACCCCACCACACCCACATCATTCAAATAAATTACTCTCTTATTCAAATATAAAAACTATTGCAGCAGATTCTATAAGAAAACAGCTAATTTTAAGAAGGAGCACCTACAAGCCAGCAACTGCTGCTTTGCAATGGCACAGAAACACAAGTCCTTAATTCCAGCAGCTCAGCTGATAAATTAACTACAGTTAAACTAGAGAGTCATAAATGAAAGAGGAACCATAACACCACTGTAATTTATAAAGGATTTGCCACTATGTATTTGGGGGTACCTGATTTTAAACAACTATTTCTGTGTTCACAAATAGCGTCTTGTTTTATATTTCACAAGTTCTCTGGGACCAAAGACTGCCTTTTTGCCTGTATTTGCACAGCTCCTACCAGGGAGCACATATAACTGGATGGGGCTTCTAGTTGCTACTGCCTTCTAATTACACCAAGGCATTGAAGAGATTACGGTTTTAGTACCTTAGTAGTGATACTTCCAGAATGTTTTTCTCCTTTTTTAAAAAAAACCCAACCAACCAAACAAACAAAAAAACCCTAAAACTTATAATTCTTTTGCAAATAAAATTTAAAATCTTAATAATCTATAAGAAAGCTCACATATATTATAAGCCCTTAAAAGTATATGAATACTGGCATGGCACACCAATGCAAGTTCTTTACATTAAAGTTAATTAAAAGGTAAATACTTCTTAGATTCAATATAAAATATACATGATATACAAGAGACTTCTGGACTTCAGGTCAAGCATTATAAATAATGCCCTGGGCTGAAGAAGACATAAGTGTTATTTTCATCTTCTACACAAAGAAAATACTGGTATTTCCATTTTTCTAAAGGAAGCCCAGTTTTGTGTCATTCGGGAAAGCCCTGCCTCGCGTTACTTTTAGTTTCAGTTTTCCCCAGCATAAGTAGGAAGACTCCTCACTTGCACAATTTCCTGTCAACACGAGAAGAAGAGTGGGAGATAAAAACTCAAGCTGCTGTTGATCTCGGGCGATGGGTGATGTGGGCACATGCAAGGTGGGAGCTTCAAACGCTCCCAGGTGGGCCAGACCCCGACCCTCAGCGGCTCAGCTCCACACCTCCATCGGCCTCTACCTTTTCACCGCTGCTAGCCGAATTAGGCAATATTTACCTAAAATTGCCACAGCCTCAAAGGAGCTGTGAGAGCACCCAGCCTGTCGCGCTGATCCGATGGTCTCCACGGGGTGATCCCAGCGAGTGGGTGCGAGACAATGAGCAAACACGGGCGACCCGAGGGAGAGCGGCCTCTGTGCCCAATTCCTGTACGTGGCCCGAGGCAAACCCAGCAACTCGGTCACTGGAGCTGCCCTTGGTTTACCAAGCAGTAAGTTTTAATTGCGTACTGTGTTTTCAACAGCTTTCCTCACAGGTACCTACAAATGCCCAGGCTGCTTACTTTAAATAACACACCTAATTTAAAAATAATAATAGTAATAATAATAATAGGACAGTCTCCTCACTAAGAAAAAGGTACAGCAAATACGTATTTAATACAGAATCATGCCATTACATACATTATGATACACGTTATATATTTATATATTATTATACACAGTAATATGAATATATAACGTGTATATATAACAACATAAGGTATCTACGCAGCAATATGATGTATCTACGCAGCAATATGATGTATCTACGCAGCAATATGATGTATCTACGCAGCAATATGATGTATCTACGCAGCAATATGATGTATCTACGCAGCAATATGATGTATCAACATACAGGGCTTTTGCACCTCCATGCAATGGTCATAGCTGCCAAAGGCAGCGGACTAGCTTTAAAAAAAAAAAAAAAAAAACAAAAAGCAGTGGCTCAAAACAAGCTTAATAATTATTTAAGCCGCAGTTTCTTACTGCCTGGTGTTAATCATTGCTAAGAGCAGCCACTCACAGAGCCGTTTCCAATCACAGCGGAGCCCTGTGCCAAAGAGCAGGGGAATAAATACCCCGCAAAAGACCGGGAGGACCCAATCGCTTACCGCAGCTCGGCGGCGGGGCTGGCTGCCCGGAGCGGCTGCCGAAACCCCGGGCTGTTTCACCGGGCTCCGGCAGCGCCCCGCCGCCACCGGGAGACGGGAGGAGGCCGGCGCTGCCCGCGCCGCGCCGCGCCGGCAGCCGCACCCACACCGCCCCACGGCAGAGCGGCCCCGTCCCGGGTGGGGGGGACGGGACGGGACACGACACGCTGCCGCGGCCCCCGCTCCGCGCCCGCGGCCGGGCCGCTGCCCGCGGAGCGCGCCCGCAGGGGCTGACACCGCCCGCCACTCACCGCTCGCCGCCGCGCGCAGTCCCGGCGCCGCCGCTCCCGCTGACCGCCCATAGGCCGGGAGGGGGCGGTGCGTCACCGGAGGTGGGCGGGGGCACCCGTCACCGCCCCGCCCACTGCCCTCCCCCGCCCCGCCCCCCCGCCCCTCCCCGGGCGCTGCCTCCCCGCGGGACCCGCCCGCGGGTGGGGGGCGGATACAGGGGGGTGCTGGGGGGGGGTGGGGAGGGAGAAAGGAGGGGTACAAGGGGGTGCTACTGCGGGGGGGAAGGGGAGAGGGACCGGCAGCGAGCTAAGGGGGGCGGGGGGGGGAGCACCCCGGCTTCACCCGCGCATTTCCGCGGCGTCCCGAGTGGGTGTCCCGGCGGCTGGTCGATATTCAAGCCGCGTGTTCTGGACACCCAGAGGTGCAACGAATGGCTTTCCTGAAAAAGAGTTATTTTTAGGAGCCTTTTAGTTAAGGAGTTAAAAAAAAAAAAAAAGAGAGAGAAATTAAGATTGCTAAATCCGATTAATTAATTATTCTTTTAAGGGTGAATAAAATCCCTCCTGAAGTTTTTTCAGCTTTTATTCTTGGCTTTACTTGATTTCTCAAGAAACCAAAATACTGATAATTGTGTTTCCTTACTGGTTTGGTTTTGTGTTTAGTGGTTTGTTCTGGTGTTTTTGGTTTGTTTTTGTTTTGTTTGTTTGGGTATTTTTTTGTATTTTACCTAAATCACATTGCTAGATGTTAAAGTTCCAAGAGGGATTTGAAACACATGGTTAACATTGAGTGCCAGCACTTGGAGATCGTCTTGGAAACAGCAGGGCAACTTTATGGCGCATCTGTAGAACCTCGGATTCCCAAATTCTGGAATCTGGCTTTTGAAATGGAGCTCAACAAACTCCGGGAAATAGTTTATCTCTGAGGATCTTTATCTCTTGCTGCTGAGGCTGTTCTTGTGCACTGAAATTGTTTTAAGAGGAATAAATAAAAGCGCCTTAGGAAATATCCACTAATGAGAGTGGAAGGAATAGAGTTAATTTTCTGTTACAACAAGAAGTAGTAAGGGTTTCTGCTTCTGAAGAGCTTGAATGATCTTTACTTATCTATGTAGTGATAAAGAATCAGCAAAGAATCTGAGCAACCTCTATTTTAAAAAGGAGAAATCATTTTAATACTATTATACATATTTACTTCATTTATAAATACTGAAAAGCCTTGAATCTTTTCTTAGTCTTTTTATGTAAGCTATAGGCTGATTTTTCCCATAAGGTATGAAAATATGAAGCAAGTTCTAGGATAAAAATTCTAAAAGAAAATAATTATTGTCAATCTGCCTTGAATACCCTAAAACTTTTCTCTGATGAGAGCCCTTAAGCAAAAGACTACAGAGGCAGGTAGAGATCAACACAAACAACTGCTGTTTCACAGTAACAGAGTACAGAGAATTACAGGGCTGTTACGTGAGGTGTCTATGTCAGCCTTTTCCCAAAAATATTTGCCACTTTTGGTGGTGGTGGTTCAGCACCACTGGCAGCGTGAGTGTAGGCAGGGCTCCAAGCGGCTGCTGGCATTGTCCTGTAGAGGCAGTTTTTGTGGTAGGATGGTGAAAGCACCAAGGCTGGACATCACCTTTTTTTGCTATTACTGTCAGACGCTGTGCTGAGCAGCGGCTCGGAGCAACCCTCCTGTCTGAGAACTGATTCACAAAGGAAGGCCAGCATAGGGAAAGACCAGAGTGAAAAGGAGCAACGAGGCTCACTGGCAATTAAATAGCTCTCTCTGGGATTGCTAGTATAAATTTGGTTTTGGAAATTAGACATTTTTTTAAAATAATCTAGCATAATAAAGATTATTATCAATGATATTTATAAATCTTAATTATCTCTGCATAAATGTGAAGTAGTGCTACCTCTAAGCCACACAATTTTGCCAGCAAAAAAGTCATAATTAGATATAGTTAAATTTATCAAACAGAGGCTGTACAGGCAAAGGTTCTTAATGAAAAACAAAACCACAATTATGACGGGGAAGAAATTTTTCTTTTGGAGAAGGTCTGTTCAAACTTCCAAACTGCTTATTCATTGGATTTCAATCCCTAGTTCCTTTTCCAGGTATTTTTTGTTCTGTCCCACTTCAATGTCATACCTTTCATAAGGACACTGTGTGCAAATATATTCCAGGAAAGAATAGAGATTGGAAGACATCAAACCTTACTGAGATGACTGTTTGAGGTGAGCAACAGAATGAATATGTGAATGATGCTCCTACAGAACTTTTCTTCCTTCCTATTTTTATAGGAAAGCTTGCATCAGAAGGACCAGATGCCAGTCATCACAATATCCACATTTCGTGGTTCTGAAGTGGAAGATCTGTCCAAGACCTCTTTGATGAATTTCCTCAATAAGGTGATTTTCTTTTTCCATAGCCCAGTTTGATCAATGCACCCAGTTTTTACTAGCATAGACTAAATTTTCCTAATCTCAGTCATCTTCATTGATGTCTTCTATTTTATGTCCTGCTCTCCACTCCGTCTCCATGGATGATGGGGGCTGTATGCTCCCAACTCTTTCTTCTTCATTTTGCCAGGAAAACAGGCGCTCAGATTGCCTTGAGCTATATAATGCTGTCTGGTGAGAGATCTGAGGGGACCTGCTGGTTACTGCTCAGAGCATCTACCACTGACCTACTGCAGGAGAAATAGCTATCAGCTCAACAGCAAAATTCAGGATTATTGCAGCAATTAAATAAAAAAATATAAAATATAGCATCCTAGGAAAACAACGGGAAAGACTGGGGAAGCAGAAGAAAAATAAGGAGGTGAAAAAGACCAAAGGACTGGACAAAGGAGATTATTAATCCTGAGGAGGGAGATAGAAATCAGAGGTAAGGGGGAGTTTTAGAAAACTGATGTTGCCCATTTAGTTCTGTTGCCAGTTGATAATTTGCATAAAGGAAATTTCTCTGCACTTTCTGTGAAAATCTCATGCTCATCAAGAGAATTGTGGCCAGCAGGTCGAGGGAGGGGATTCTCCCCTTCTACTCCACTCTCGTGAGACCCTTCTTGCAGTGCTGTGTCCAGCTCTGGGGCTCCCAGCACAAGAAGGAAAAGTCTGGTCAGGGGAGATTCGTTGTTATTCCCAGAGTGAGATTAAGATCAAACGAGGTCAAATGCCATAAAGAAAAGAAGCTTATTAGTTACATCAATATTTGCATAGATGAAAGAAAGAGAGAGAGAGAAGGAAGAGGGAAAAAAAAAAAAAAAAAAGGACAGTAAAGATGCAATAGCTAGCACCACGGAGCTGCGGTGTCCCATCTGTCTGAATCGAGTTCACGTCGGGGGGGGGGGGGGGGGGAATTCCATTGGGTGCTGGTCGTCACGGGCTCTTATATCGAGGTGTCCTCGCTCCTCCCGAGGATTGATTGGCATATTCTAAAAACTGTCTTGCTCGCCCTCACCCATCACTCAGTGGTGGTGCACATGCCCAATACCGTCTGTGTGTGTGTGGGGGGGGGGGTGTTTGGATTTCAGGGTCTTTTCTCTGTCCCTGGGTCTGGGAGCGTGTGCAAGGGTAAGGTTATCCATATGCATAGGTTTTCCGAGAAAGGTTTGGGGATTTCCAAGAAATCATTTACATGCTCTATCAAACGTGGTGGTGGTCATAGGGTGTCCTTCGGTGGTCAACTGATGAAGGCTCAGTGTCTTCCTCCTGACTGAATGTTTGACTTTAATTGGATTTGCATCCTTAAGTGGTTCAAACTGGTCTAACAGGATTGATGCAAGCTCAGGGTCTCTCTATCTTATCTCCAAGCTTGTCCTGCTTCCTTTGTCTTTAAGGATGTATTGTTCTTTGTAGTGTTACATGGATGTCTGGGCTTATGGGGGTGTAGCAGTTTCTGTGACTATGTTTGCTAAAGCATTAGAAACTTAGTAGGAGGTGGGGTGCTCCAACAGCGCTGAGGTAGACATCCATTGGTGGTTTCCATACAGTCCAGCAATGTTGAGAGGGACGTTCATTGGTATAAACATCTTTTAGACACAGTCCTTTACAGTCCAGAGCAGGGCCACGAAGATGATCAGGGGGCTGGAGTACCTCCCTTAATGAGGCCAGGCTGAGAGAGTTGGGGGGTTCAGCCTGGAGAAGAGAAGGCTCTGGGGAGACCTTCGAGCAGCCTCCCAGGGCTTAAAGGGGGGACAGGGAAGGTGGGGAGGGACTCTGGATCAGGGGGTGTAATGATAGGATATGGGGTAACAGTTTTAAACTGAAGGAGAGTAGATTTAGACTAGGTATTAGGAAGAAATTCTTCCCTGTGCGGGGGGTGAGGCGCTGGCCCAGGGTGCCCAGAGCAGCTGTGGGTGCCCCCTCCCTGGAAGGGTTCAAGGCCAGGTTGGACGGGGCTGGGAGCACCCTGGGCTGGGGGAAGGGGGCCCTGCCCGGGGCAGGGGGGTGGGACTAGATGGTCTTTAAGGTCCCTTCCAACCCAAACCTTTCTATGATTCTATGCTAATTTTGTCCATCTTTTTTCACACCAGCTGCATGGCGTCCTAACATGATGTCCAAGAACGTACTTTTTTGTGAGCCTTTCTCAGGGTGCAGCCGTAGTGCTGGTATGGATGATGGGGCCTGCTACTCGCATTGCCTGACCTACTGGTCTGAAAGGACTTCTTTCTTTCTCTCTGTCAAGAACTTGCCTCTCAATGGTGTGATAAGCTAATTGTGCTTCAGGGGGTTACTGAGTGTGTATAAGGTGTTTTCTCCATGTTTCAGCCAAAAAAGAAAAAAAAAAAAAAAGGACACTTATTTAAGCACTCTCTTAAAATTTCCACTGAAATAAATAATTATTCTGCTATCTTGACATCAGTCTGACTTATTTCAGATTAAATCTGCCATAGCTGTGGCTGACCATTTACTCAGAAGGGCAAACTTAACTGTGTATTCATCTATGTTATCATTTTGTTTCAGATGATGTATGTATTTTTTTTAAGAAAATCCCTGGTTGCCTTCCCTTCCTGTCCTTTGGTTATTTTGTGGAGCAG